CATGTATATATATATATATATATATATATATATATATATATATATATATATATATATATATATATGTATATATATATATTGGTGAACGGTTTTTTTGTTTGGTTTTTTGGTGAACGTTTAGTTTATTAAAATTCAAAATAAACTTAAACGTTCACCAAAAAACTTTTGTGAGAAAAATCGAAAAAACGAACTACACACATATTAACGCCAAACATTCGGTATAATTTATAGAATATTGTAAAAATTATGGTCTATTACCAACAAATATATATATATATATATATATATATATATATATATATATATATATATATATATATATATATATACCTTTAGTTATTCAAATTCCGTCATCATCATATTTGATAAGCCTTTTCTAAGTTTCTAGTTGTTTAGCTTAGTTTATTGCTTATATTGTAATATAACGTGTTTTATTTTTAGATTTTATTGTTATAGTCAGTGTTTATACTTCTATATAATATGTGAGTGTGTGTGTGTGTGTCTGTGTTCGCGAGAGAGAAGAGAACGAGAGAGGGAGAGAGAGAGAGAAAGAGAGAGAGAGAGAGAGAGAGAGAGAGGGAGAGAGAGAAAGTAAGAAACGCTTCAACACCTTACGTAAAATCCAATATTGAATTGTTAAGGTAAATTTGTGATGCTCCCCCAACATTTTGGTCGATATGTTTGTCTGTCTTACAGAGTTATTATTAAGAATGATAAACTAAAAAAATAAACTATTTATTAAAGTTATAATTAATAAACTAAATAATAATATTAATTACTAATAACTATTAAAGTTAATTGAACTTATTTCCTCAAAATTATATATGAAACAAAATCAAAAAATCATTTTATTCTGCAAAAAATAATATAGAATGAACTCTGACTCACACACGCACAAACACACTGACACATACAAACATTGACATACGCACGCACACACGTACGCGCGCACACACACTAACACAAACATACTTATTACATTATCAAACGTACAACTATATTAAATTAAATAACCTCATTATTTTTATTATTTAATAATAATATTCTATTAAAATATATCATTTACCATCTATACATTTTAAAATGAAATATTTTTGACTGTAAATATGCAAATTAGGTCACGTGCTGTAAACAAAACACCTGTATTGTTAATACCCGTGTGTTTACCTATTTATGTGGTTATTGTCCTATCTCTCATCATATTAGAGTTTAAAAAATTATTTTCCAAAAGAAAGACTTGAAAACTATTTGTTAAGCTTGTTATAATTAATAATAAATACACAGTTTTTCTTTATTTAAAGTATTTTTCGATCTTCAATTCACTGATTGTACAGAGATAGATATTGTATTGTATAAAAGCACAGATAATACCTCTTTGTATAATGGAGACGCCAGCAAACAAAGGTACGTTGTATTGTACAGTACACTCTGTGTATTATGCGTTTTTTTGTGTATTTTGTGTGTATTTTGTATGTACTTTACTTTTTGTGTATTTCTTTGTGTAAATAATGGCTATATTGTTTTTCTTAAAATTCTGATGTTTAATTTTCATCAACAAACCATACTTAATCAACTTTATTTAAAATTTCTATTTACTAATTTGCACGTGTGTATTTTTATATATAAGAACGTGGGTTTTTTTGGCCTCTAGATAGTGTAATGGTTAAGGCTTCTGGTCCTGTTGTTTCATTGACCGGCTTCAAATGCAAGAAGTTCCAAACAAATAACGTGCTATGTTTGCTGCGTGGATTCACGCGTATTCACATGCGTCCTGTGTGCGTGTGTGCGTGCGTGTGTGTGCGTGTGTGTGTGTTGCTACTTACTCTGAAAATTGAAAACAAATGTAATAATAACTATATTTTAATAATATCCTAAAAAATAATTAACTATATTTTAGTAATAATTATTTTTTTTTTAATTCTCGCACGTTCTTTAGGAGATGTAACAGAAGAATCGGACGATATCGAAGACGCCGACGAGCTGCTCGATATCCATTACGCCATCGTCAACGATGAAGAAGAGAGGGTCGGTCTTGCGTGCGTGTGTTACATTTCACTGAGAGGGGATCAAATTCCGTATTCTATTGAATTAAAATCTGAAATTTTTTTCAATCTACTTTAAAAAAAATCACTTGTGTATTTAGATTGGCTATAAAAATCATAAAGCTTTTTCGCCCCTCTAACGATATACATGGATAGCGCTATATAAATGACATCGTTATCATTAGTAGTAACAATAGTAGTAGTAGTGGTAGTAGTAGTAGTTGTAGTAGAAGTAGTAACAGCAGAAGTAATAGCAGTAGTAGTAGTAGCAGTAATATAATTACATTTCTACAAAAATATAGCTGGATCAGTTGTGCAAAACGGCTAAAAATTTGGATGGGAAGTTTCAAGACGATCTGGACCCACAGCATCTCAACATGACGCCTCTTGCTCTCTCCGCTGCCCTCAACAAACTGCAACTCATGAAGGTTTCTAAAAAAACTTTATTTTAATAATTAAAAAATTGTAGTTAATTTATGTTTTAAATTGGGCTTGGTTGATTAACGTTGCACTGAAAGTACATTTTCAATATTTTGCGACCCAAAGGTTTTATTGAAAAACGGCGCGAAAGTAGACGCAACTTTTGCCAATTTGAAGACGACAGCCCTGATGACGTCAGCGTTTCACGGACACGACGAGGTGGTGAGAACGTTGTTGGAGTATGGAGCCAACGTTAAAATAACTGACGTCCAACAAAGCACCGCTCTGGGATACTGTTTCGGCGGTTAGTCGAGAAATTTTTATAATTTCAACCCTGTGTAATTGGCATGCCATGTTTTAAAATAATCCAGGCAGTCGCAACTTGCAAGTGGTGAAGTATTTGTTGGAGGCAGGTGTCGATGTGAATATCTCAAACGTGTTGGGAATGAACGCCTTCCTCTTGGTTTCTGGATACGGCAATGAAACACTTTTGAACCTGGTGCTGAATGCCGGAGCGAGAGTTACTGATGCAGTCAACAATTTCGGTCACACACCCTTGCATCTGGCTGTTCTTGGCAAACAATCCCAGATGAATTTATTAACGCAGAAAGGCATGTACAATTCAGCCTATTACGGATTAGATCGAAAAAATTTAAAAACAATTTTTCTAACGTGGGCCAGAGATAATCATGATCAACTTTTAAATAAGTTGCCGGTATCCAACGGCCAGTTTGAAAAGACGGGGCAGTTCATGGAGGACTTGGGAGAGAAAATATCTTCATGCATCAGGTTGTGCAACGAAGAAGACTTTTTCAGCGAGGAGGAGATTATGAAACAAAAAATTGATGCGGCCACCAAATTCCGAAGAGAAAAATTAGCTGCATCAACTGGCAACAAAAAATCATCAAAGTTCATCGATTCTTTGCTCTCTTGTGGAGGAAAATTAGGCAAGCACGGTATGAACATCGTTTAATTTTTAACTTTTGAACATTTTAGATGATTTGTTTCAAACTAAAATTATTATTTTTTATTGTTGAGTTTTTTGAAAAATAAATTTATCTCAGGAAAGAACGGTTCTAAAGTAACAAATACCTTTGACGCCGTCAGACCGCTTGTTGAACCTCAAAGTTTGTCAGAAGAAAAGGAAGTAGAAACTCAGATAATTTGCACAAATTTTGCAAAAACAGTGAAAATGCTGGTGAACGCTGGTTGTAAAATAAACGAAATTGAATGCACATTTGGATTGACACCCCTGGACATCGCAATTCTGAATGGAGACGTAGAGTCCAGTGCAATCCTGTTAAGTGCTGGCGCCGATCCAGATCATCTCATGAAGGAACTCTCCATGACGGAACTCTACGAACTCATCTCAGCTGAAAAACCCGACAAGAAGCACGTGAAAGATCTACTGGATAATGATAGTTGTCTTGATGTCAATGCTTCATTCAATAGCTCCAACATTCCAACGAGGTATTTATTAAGTAGAGTTATAATATAATTACACTGTGAATGAAATTAAATTTAGAAAATGAAAAAACTTTTATAAAAATGATTTGTAGACTTTCGGAGTCCCAGATAGAAAGCCTTCAAAGTGACATCGGGTTGACGCCTCTGGCAGTTGCGGCCAAGGCTCAAGACAGTGGTACCGTCGAAATTGTCAAGCTGCTCATTAAACACGGTATCTTTTAATAACATCCGTTTCAACTTTAAACTTTTTATAATTCACTTCAAAAGCTTATTTTTCAAGATATTGTTGAACAGGAGCGGATATAAACAAGATTGGTTCGAGCGGGAGAACGACACTGGGTGAGGCATGCAGATGGGGCAACGTTAAAATGGTGGACTTCCTGATAAACCAAGGTGCCAATATTGAACAACCGAATCCTGCGTTTCAAGATGCTACTCCACTGAACGTCGCTGTCCTTTCTAAACAACCGAAAGTTGTGGAGTACCTTATTTCAGTTAGTTTGAAAGTTTCTAAAAATGTTGAAAGATGTTAGTTATTGTTCAATTTTATACGCCATGTTCAGAAAGGTGCCAAAGTGGACCATGTTATGAAAGATGGCAGGACGAGTGTGATAAAAGCTAAAGATGCAGATGATATGCCCATGATTGACTTGCTGCTGCAGGCAGACTTGAACAACAACTTCGCTGACAACAATGGATTTGTTTATCAACTTGCCAAAAATTATAACTCTCCAAATAAAAGTTATTGACTTGACTTTTGAATTATAATTTTTATTTTTGAGTTATAACATTTTATATCAATAATTTCAGGTATCAAAAACATTTTGGAGACTATATCCCATGAATGCAGCAGGATAAAGAACGAGGAAGACATAATGCAATTGGAAATTGAAAGAGAGAAAGCTGAACTGCTGAACAGACAGCTATATCTTCAAGAACAACAACTCAAAAATAGTAGGACAAATAATCAGTCGTTGGAATATGAACAAATAAATATTGACTTGCAAAATGTTGTTGTTCCAAAAATTAGAAAGAAAAAATCGAAGAAAACTGACAAAGCAAAAAGTCAAGTAAAAGAGGATGTCATCGAGGAGGTGGCTCAAAAAAATGGTAACGTAAATTTGGAAAGCAATCCAAATGCTGAAGATTTTCCAATTTATTCATCCGTGAAAAAGTTGAAATCTTCAGCCGGTTCCAACGCCATGGACAGTGTGAAAACGGTGACCGTTGGCATGCTGGAACAAAATGCCGACCAAATAAGCGACGCCATCGCCAGCGGTGTTTCAAAAGTTGTCGGCCAGGATAAAAGACAGGCGATAAAAAGTGTGACTCAGCCTGTAATTCAAACAGCTGTTGGGTTTGCCAGGGGTTTGAACCCAGCCAACTCTGAAATTTCCGACCAAAACGTGGTTAATGAAGATGTTTTTGAGGCTCATCAGTCTGATGATTTCGATCCAAAAAGAAATCAAGCAAAACAGTTTCCTAAAGGTGTCGCCATTGAAATGAATCAAGAAAATCTCAACATACTGCCAAATTCTGAGAATGCAGCCGAAAGTATTACAAATTCAGACGTTATAAATATAAACATTGATGATGAAATTAGTAACGCTCTGAAGGATATGAAACCCCTAGAGCATGAACTGCAAATAGCAGAAGACACAATTCAAACTGAATTAGCACCTCCGGTGAAAGCGACAAGATCTAAGAAAAAACATTCTGAAAAGCATGTTGAAAACGGAGAGAATCTTAACGAACTTCAAGCAACCACTAATCAGCCGGCTACAAACGCTGTTGTCAACATGGATAGCATAGATTCAGTCATAATGAAACCAAAAGCTAGAAAGAAGCACAAGACGCCATCAGAAAACGCGGCTGATATGCCTGAAACCCTTGCCATCACGAATCATGTTGATAATCTTTCCGAAGAGAACGTTGCCCCATTTATTCAAGCAAATATTAGTACTGAACAACATAAAAAGAAGAAAAAGTCTCACAAATCAAACAGTTCAGCTGCAGCTGAGCTGTTAGATGAAAATATGACGGTTGGCTTGAATGTTGAAGAGTCCCAGGTTAGCACTGAGGTTCCAATTGTTCCGAAGATAAGAAAGTCAAAGAGTAGTAAGCAAGCAGTCGAAGTCACAATTTGAAAATGCTCTCTGTGACATCTAATACAAATATAAATCATTGTAAAAATGAAAATAATTTTTTCGTATGCCTAACTAACCGCATATTATTTTACCATATCATGATTCATATCTGCCATGACTTGTTCACTTTAATTGCATTTATAATTTCATTTCATCGAGAATCATTTTGAAACTTGAATTATCTTACAACTCAGTGCCTTCTGACTAAACTAATGATACGTCATATTCTAATTGTAATTATTGTAAATGATTAAGTAGGTATTTACAAGTTCACTCACACACATCTTATCATATGAACTGGTTCTCGAATATTCATAACATGTTCATAATGTTGCCATGGTGAGGCTGATTAAGAACTTTGTAGTCGCCAACGATATTATAACGTTGCTACTTGCAAACTTTTCATTTATTTCTAGTTGCTAGCTGATCTTAATTTAACAATCATTTCATTTTATTTGTATAAAAAAAAAGATGCGTTACAAAGAGAATAAAAAATTTGTTAACAATTTAAGAAGACGGAATAAATCGTTATTTTTAAAAACTTTCCTAAACGAGCAGTTGAAGTGGAAAGTGGGATTAAGAACCGGGATCATATACCCGTTGAAAAATTTCTACCGACTCCCTCACGATTCCGTGTTATTCAGGCCGGATCATTCTTCTTTAATAACGTTGTCCAAGCGCAAAGAATTTCGGAAGAGGATACAGAGGATTAAAATTTCAAGAAGAGTTGTGGGATTTGGGACTCATTATTACAGGAAGTTTAAAGTAATAATGGATTGTAGTGACATTTGAAATTAATGTGCTTGTTTGGGAAGAATTCATCATTAATTAAAGTGTTAATTTTTATAATGATGGTGATGATAAACATGATGAGAATGTTAGCTAATGATGATGATGACAATGATTGTGTTGCTACTTTAATTATTTAAGAGTTAACGCGTTTGTATTTTAGACAGATTTGAGTAAACAATCTAAACTTGTGAAAAAGTAATTTATTAATTTATTCAAATTTGAATTTTTAAAAAATTGATATAACACACCAAAAATCCTAACTTCCACAAAAAAATTAAATAAAAATTTTAAAATATATGAACCCATGTCAGAAAACCAACACTCAAAGAAAAATTAGCAGGAAACATTCCAACTAAAACATGCAATTTGGACCTACCGCTCGTTATTACGTCTCTATTCAAGAAATCCTCACCTAGCATCGAAACAAACGAAAAAATTTCGAAGTTTTTACCTAGTTTAAGATTCTGCAAGGGTTGTGGAAACCGTTCTGAATATCAGTAAGTTAGTTTAATTAATTTTCACTAAACAATGAAATGATACCGAATATTTATAACTGAATATCTAAAACTACGAACACAAATACTAAAATATGAACATACATGAACGTACGAATAGGTTTCTGATTTGTGGTATGAAATGATTTTTCAGTTTTCACGAAGATAGGAAGAAACGTTTGGGAGGTGGTTTCGCTTTCGTTCAGCGAAATTTCAAATCGTGGATGCAACTCTTACATTCGGAAAGTTTTTTTGAAAGTTCTGGTTAGCTAGGACCATTTTTAGCATTTAAACAAACTTAAAAAACAATTTATCATGAATATTTTAGATTCTCAACAACCTCTGGATCAGCAAGATGACCAAAAAAGTAAAATTCCGAATAGAATTTCACACGGCAACGCAAATTTTATTTGGACCAAGGATGGAAAAACTATCTACTCTGAGAGAACTAATCTCAAAACAAATTTATACCACTCGAATCTGGGCAAGGTAGCCGATACGGAGAATGTGCTACAGTTGAATGAAGACGTTTTGAATTCGTTATCTGAAGAAATTGAAGATGGCCAACGATATATTGTCATCATAAGAGGTCGATTTCATGATTTACGATCATTGAAATTATTTCAGATTAATTTGTAAAAAAAATTAAACAAAAATTTTTAGGTGGAATCAAAAAAAGAATTCCGGTAATTTCTGATGAATCTGCTTTTGAGAAATTAATAAATGCGGAGGTTGAGGAAGATGAAGAAAAAAGGTCACCGAACCAAAAAGAAAAAGTGGATGAATCTAAAAGAGCAAAACTTGATGGAGGTGTTTCTTTGAAAATGATAAATTTAAACTAAAATTTAAACAATTTTCTAAAAAACGAAATATTTTACGTACTAGAAAACACAGGAACAGATGACAAATTAGCAAACGTTAACACACATACTCACAGTAAAGGTATTTATTACAATAGTAGCTAATGATTATTACGTAATATTAACTCATAATAAAAATAAAAATTTTTCTCTTGCATGTAAAGAGAAACCTGAAATCACACATAATGGTGAAGCTAATTCTATGACAAGCGCGTTTCAAAAGGTGAGAGTTATATTTTTTCAAACATTTATTTAGGGTAGGTATTGTTTAAAAAAATGAAATTCTGATAGGACGAGTTTGTTAAAAAGACTGGCGCCAAAAATAATGAGTTGGATGAAGACTTTTTACAAAATTTTGAATTAGGCTCAAACAAAACATCAAAAGTTACTGTTGGAAAAACCGATCGAACTTCTCTAAAAAATAAAATTATTGAAAATTTGAGGAAGAAGCAATTTAAATCGAAAATCGTAGCCAAGCAGAGCATTGAAAAGAATATAACATCTGATGAGACCGGTGAAGATGATCAACCTTTGGAGAACCAAAATGGAATGGCAGCAGAAACTTTCAAAGAATCAAATGCAGTTAAAAAAACATTGGTAATTCAACTACCTTCAGCCAAAACCTTATCTTCTTCAAGTAAATCATCTCTAATTATTGCATATTCTGAGACTTTTTAAAAATTTTGATAAAATTTTGAATGTGCGTGTCTGTAAGTGCGTATTATGATGAATATATATAAAAAATTAATTATTTCAGATGAAAACCAGTTACGTAAAAATTTATTCTTTAAATCAATATTTTTACAAGATTCACCATCACCTGTCAAGAGAGAGTCAACAGATCTAGAAGATACGAAACTAGTAGGAGATGGCCTAGTTGTACAACATGATGGTTCTAACAAAGAAAGGAATGATCAGGTGGTCACAAATTCAACTGACAACCATGAAAAAGTATTTTAAATTTATTTTTATTTTATATTATTTGCGATAAAACCCAGCAAAAACATTACTCAACCAACTTTTTTACGACATTAAAGCATTTCATATTTTATACATTTTTATATAAATTTAACAGGAAAAATTCATAAACATTAACGAGCCAATCTCACAAGTCGAAAATCCCGAAAATACAGATAATACAGAATTGAAATCCCCTTCTGCATTTATACAAAATGAAAATTTAAATAATTTAGAAAGCGAAATAAAAAATAAATCACCAGAAATGTCAGTTATAATGAAAAAACTGGAAGATAATAATGACAAAACATTCGAGGAGAACGAAGGCGATAATCAATGTGATCCCAATCTCAACCAAAACCCAAATGATTTGAATCTCAATAATGATGAAGATGATAACATAGATGAAAATATTTCTGCACTAGAAGAAAAAGCTGATTATATCTTAAATAGTGATGTATCTGGAGGAAATGACGAAGAAAAGGATGATAATAGTTTACAGGATTCAGCAACTACACTGGAAACCGAGACAACAAAAATTACTGTTAACTTAACAGATGAAACAACAACAATACAAGACGAACGACCCGACAAACAGGTATTAAAAATTATTTTATTAAAAATGAAAAAATGAAAAAAATTTTAATATTTAAATTGCTGTACCACAGGTAGAAAAGATTAGCGCCTCATCCAAATATGACGAAATTCTACAACAAAGAAAACTTTTAGACGCCAAATTAAGGAGAATGTACGTAAATTTGATTCATCTATTCAAGTTTTCCACCTCAAATATTAAAAAAACCATACAGAAAACGTGAAAAAATGAATCAGAAATTGAAAGATCAAGAGAAAATTGTTAAATTAGAAGAGCCAGAGATCGTGGAGGAAAGGGATGAATCATTTGAAGAGGAGTGTGTGGATTGGCTGGCCAAATATTGCATAATCAAGTTGTCTAATTTTGAAAAACTTGCAAAAATGATTTCTACATATAATTGGCAATTTCAATTTTTTTCATACTTCTAGACCTGAAAAATTACCGAGTTACATATCCGCTTTTGAAAAATCGTTGAAAATGCTCCCCGAAATAAAATCCTTTGACGAGGAAGAAAAAAGTATTAATAACCAGCTTAATAGTACAAGTACAGTAAAATTATATTTACCTATTGTGTTTTATTCAATTTTTTTTTCAACATTCATCCCAATGATATTTATTTTAGATTCGTTTTTGCCGCTAATTCACCCGCCAAATAGAACCCAAACCAATCTGTTCGGCGATAAAAAAGAACTTGAATTGAATATGTTAGATACCCTTTCAAGGAATTCTGCACTGGCGTATAATCAAGTTGCTAAAACTTTTTGTTTTTCCACATCCTCATTTTTTGTAACATTGTTACATATTGTGAAATATAAAAAATAGTGTACGCAATTTACATAAATGCGATTATAAAATCAAAACAGGTTGGATGTAGCATGTTGAAAATAATGGTTGAAAGTGCCAAACTCCAGATAACGTCACTGCTTGAGGAAAGGAATAACTTGATTCATCTGCTTGGCAGATATTTAGGCAAGTTGCCATCAATTTACTTATTCATTTTCATCCAGGAATAATAATTCTTAAATATATAATTGTTAAAACAACTTTTAATTATACGTTTGGTAAATTTCATTTCAAAAATTTTTCAAATATTTTCCGATTTCAAAAGAGAAAAAGAATTCAGTTTGCGTCAAAGCTAACATTAAACCCGATGATCTTGTGGTGGAAAAGAAGAAAAAGGTGTGTTTTTCTAGTACAAAAATCATGATAAAACCATAAAAATCATTTCTATACCAATAATCATTACTTTATCAATAATATTTTATAATATTTATCAAATCATTAAAATAATTAATATTTTTTAAATGATCTAATCATTTTATTGCGAATATTTAAGGTTAAAATTGAAAAAAGTGCTAGCCAATCGCACCCAGATAACCATAAAACCAAGGATAAAACTGCTGCTAAGAAAAAGAAAAAAAAGAAAACTGACAAACCATTAAACAAATTATCACAAGTATATTATGTTATCATTATAATCATATTACTCTAAACACAAATTTTACTGATAAAAATCAAATTTTCACTCGTAACAACATATATTTATATAGACAGATAGTGAAATATTGCAGTATTTGGACTTAAACATCGGATATATTCAGAGCAGAATTGAAAAAATCGACACAGAAATCTTTAAAGCCTACGGTGATACTTATAATTCTTTTAAAAAGAAATTATATAGAAAATTTTATTTTAAAAATAAATACATAATTAGTTTATCATAATATATGAAATATGAAGATGCGGAATCAAGACTGATGAAATGTTATAGCGAGGAAGAGCGCAGAAATGAAAGAATCTATCGTAACATAAACTGCCTTCTAGAAAAGGATGATTTCCTTTATAAGTCACTGTATCCGGCTTACGTAAGGATGTTTGTGTAAATGTGTGTGTGTTTGTGTGTACGTGTTTCCCTGCATGTGTGGTGTATGTGAACATTTTTGTTGCAGAACCCGCAGTTAGCCCCAAACCAGCTTGATCGTGGATTGAAGTTGATTAACAAACAGCTAGTTACTAGACAAGGATGTAACTTCATAAATCATGTTAGTCTATTAACTACATATTTCGATAGAAATTTTCAAAAATTAAATGAAACGATATATTTTATTAGAATTTATGTTTAAATTTGGATGTTATACACAGATCCTTAGAATTCCGAACGAGAAACTAAGAATCGACAAAAGATTTTTTTGTGTTTCGGCGGCCCTTTCTGAAAAAGTGTCACAAATAAAGTATATTTTTTCCCAAAAGTTCTATTTTTAAGTATACCACATGTATTAAATTTTTACATTATTGTATAATATTTTTATTCTACGTTATTCCTGATTTCCTAATTCCAGTTTTTTGACCGGCAAATTGATGGACAAGCAAAACTACGATGCCCTTGACAAAAAAATGACAAAAGCCAAAGTATTTTTCCGTTACAAATCTAAAATTTTATAGACAAACTCATTAAACGTTATAGTCACTGCAACAACCTTATCAGGCACTGTATACATATTAATTTTATTTAATTTTTTTTCCCGCTAAACTTAGGGAATATTCAATTTGATGGACGAAAACGGCACAAATGGTTGTCCGTCAATCGACCAGCTGACATTAGAATTGTCGGCAGGTGGCGTATCGAAGGAGCATGTTAATAAGGTGATAGAAAGATTCAGTCTGGTCAGTCAGCACAAAGATGGGTGTGTGGATTATGTAGATTATCTCATGTACGTGCCTCTCTTTCTAGAAGTTCACCGGAAGATTATTGACAACCCTCTTAGCTCGGCCAGGGATTGGTGAACATCTGATTGAATGAGGCAGACCAGCGTAAAAATATTAATAAAATTTGTCTTACTTCATTTCATTTTCATGTTAGAAAAATTATAAAAACTTATTTCAGACTTGTAAATTCAATTCATTTAATTTTATTACAAAAAATATACAACGGCTTTAGTGTTTATTTTCCTCTGTCAATTTTACCAAAAAATCATCACAGAAGACACATCATAAACATCAAAGTATTTCAATTCATGTCCGCTGAATTAATGCTCGCTCGACCTACTTTTATCACCAGTTCAAAGTCTGCTGAACTTGCGAACAAAGTATTATATCTGAATATTTTAATAGCTGTTTGTGTGCCTTTTGTGTATCATACATGTATCATACATGGACGTTGAACGAGCATTAAAACATAAATACATGTTGATGTGTAATTTGAACTGAAGCATATTGAATATAGATTGTATGTGTGTGTAGGTTTATGTAGATTGTATGTGTATGTATGCATGTATGTATGTATGTATATGTATTTATGTATGTGTATATAGATTGTATGTGTATGTATGTATATCTGTTTGTATGCATGTGTATGTAGATTGTATAAAGCTTAGTTTTGTGGACCAGCACATTTAGCGTAGTAGAGTGAGATATTAAAGTTTACTATTTTTAAATTCATTTCATTTGTTTGTTTACGAAGAAAAATGTCAAAAATTGTTGAGTGCGTGCCAAATTTTTCTGAAGGGAAAAGGAAAGAGGTTTGTAGTTTTTATTTATATCATATTTCTCCAGGCTTTTAACACTTTTTTGGTTTAGTATCAATATCAAACAGAAAAATGTATGTACTTAAATGTCAAAAAAAATTGAATTTCAATTTGAAATCGTTTAATTTTACTTCAATATTTTTTTCTTTTCAATAACTCGGTCACATTCATAAAAAACGAAGTATTGTTGCTTTCTAACAACCTCATACCGCGCAATTTTTAAACACTAAACCGAATTTCGACCATAATTTCTTCATTTTGTAGTATTTCATTGTAATATTTCATTGTAGTATCATATTTCATTGTTAGCCTAATCAACAGCCTTGAAACATTTCACGCCATATATATTTTTTCACAATAAATCTTTAAAGGTGATAGACGCCATATTAGAAGCCATCAAAGGTACCGAGGGATGTACATTGTTGGATTTCGACCCTGGAGCGTCCACGAACAGAACTGTTTATACCTTCGTCGGCAGTCCAGAAGCCGTTGTCGAGGGCGCGGTTAATGCCGCCAAGGTCGCTTACAAACTCATCGATATGACCAAACACACTGGTCTGCAACTATGTCGTTTTCACAATTGTTTAATTGATGTTAGCCTTTAATTTATTTTCTCGTGACATGACTAACTGTATTTTAAGATGGACGTATCTCTCGCAGACGTATTGACCATTCGTCTGCGAGAGATACAAGTATGATAATAGAAAAATAAATGAGAATGAAAAACAGGTGAACATCCGAGAATAGGAGCAATGGATGTTTGTCCGTTCGTTCCTGTGAAGGGGGTGAGCATGGAAGATTGTGTGAACTGCGCACGTACGTGTGCTGAAAAATTGGCCACCATTCTTAATGTTCCATGTTAGATTCATATTTGTCGTTTTTAATTAGAATTTATATTGATTTTTTGATCAATTTATCCATTTAAATTTTAATTTCAAGTAACATTTTGTTTGCTATAATTTCGTAGCCTTTTTGTATGGCGCAGCTTCAAGCCTGGACTACCGCAAGTCGATACCACAGATAAGAGCGGGTGAATACGAAAGTCTCGAAGAAAAGGTACTTTAAAACACCTTTTAACCAATTTCAAATATATTATTTTGTTATTTTAGTATCCTGATTATATTATAAAGAGTAATATTATTTTATATTTACTAAAACTAACTCACACAAAGCTCAAAAAAGAAGAATGGAAACCAGACTTCGGACCGATAAAATTCCAGGCAAGTTGGGGTGCCACACTGGTGGGGGCACGCAATTTCCTCGTGGCATACAACATCAACCTACTTGCCACGAAAGAACAGGCGCACAGGATAGCCCTGGACATTCGCGAACAAGGCAGGGGTGTTAATCAGGTATATTAGAATTAAAATTCGTTCATGTACCTACTACGTTTCAAGAGGATATAACTTCATTTTAAACGTTTATTGAGTATTTAAATTGGAAACTTTTTTTTGTAATAATTCTCCCTCCAGCGTGGCAAGTTCAAATGCGTTCAAGCAATAGGCTGGTATCTGGACGAGGCAAATATGGCCCAGGTCTCAATCAATATAACTGACACTGAAGTTACTGCCATACATCTGGTATACGAAGAGGTTTTATCGATCGCTAAGGTCTGCAAATTATTTTTAGTTTTGTTTAATGATCCACTTTGTTTAAATACAAACGTATTTTATATAATTTTTTGCAACATTTTCGCGGTGATTCGAAACAGGAGTTGGAATTACCTGTTGTTGGCTCGCAAATTGTCGGCATGGTGCCTCTGAAGGCTCTGATGGATTGTGCGAAATATTACATTCAGAAGGAGAAGTTGTTCATTGTTGAGGAGGAACAGAAAATCAAATTGGTAAGATATTTGCTCTGGTAATTTTTGTAAATTATCTTATTTTTTTAGATTATGAAATCGCTACCGGTCAACTCTAATCTGAGAGCAAAATTATTAAAATCTACCTACCGTTTTACAACAGTAACTAATTTTTGTAACAGTAATTAATTTTCGTAAACCTCTACAGGCTGTTGACCGACTTGGCTTGCACTCTTTAGGATATTTCAATCCAAAAGAAAGAGTCATCGAGTAAATGTTTAGTTTGGAATGACAAAATTATCTTTAAATGAAAATTAAATAAACCAAAATTTTAATAACCTAACCCCAGATACATGATTGCCAAAGAATCCGACTGTCCTTTGTTGTCGTTGTCGGTGAAAAGATACGTCCAAACAGTTGCCGCACGAACTCCAACGCCAGGTGGCGGGTGTGTGGCGGCCCTTGTGGCGTCTCTGGTCAGCCCATTTATCCTGAATAAATTCTAAATAATATTTAACATTGTTAATAGAATTTAATTTCTTAGAAATCTGCTATTAATTTTTTATACCTCATAAAGATTTTGTATTTCAAATTATAATTTTTTAACAATTCACGTCAATTTTCTTTACTGAAACGATTTCAACTCACCAAGTGATTATATTGGCAGGGAGCGGCCCTCAGTACGATGGCGGGCTTTTTAACGTATGGCAACAAGAAGTTTGAGAGTCACGATGCCCTCATGAGAAAATTGTTGACTCTTCTGCATGAGAAATATAACGAATTAATGAACGTCGTTGAAGCTGATGCTGTCGCTTTTAACGATTATATGGTTTGGATACATTTTTTTAAAATAATTTTTGTCATATTTTTAGGTATTTTTATATAAATTAATTAGCTTATGTAGTTTGTATAATTTTTTTCATGAATTATGTAATTCACTTAATTAACCTGTGTAGTTTGTATAATTTTTTTCATAAATTAAATGATTGATTTAATAAATTATTTTTCTAGGCAGCCGTCAAGCTATCTAAAGAAACCGAGGAAGAATTACAAATGTAAGTAGGGATATCTCTTTCATTTTTAAAACTTCCAAAATGTTCAATAAAAACAGCATTATCAATCAGTGAAATGACATCTTTTACAGCCGCTCCAACAAGTTGCACGAAGCACTAACGAGTGCAGTGAGAGTTCCACTAGATTTGGTTCATTCAATTAATCAAGCCTGGCCTACGCTGAAAGAACTTGCAAATGTTGTCAATCCTAATTGCATCTCAGATATGCAAGTCAGTAGTCAATATAATGGAGGTTAATTTTTTTCTTTTTTATCAAAGAATTTGTATTTTGAAAATTTTCAAGGTCGGTGTGAGATGTCTTGAAACTGGAGTCTGGGGCGGACATTACAACGTCATGGCTAACTTGAAAAACTTCAAAAATAAAGAGAAGGCAGAAGAAGTCAGTGAAACAAACTTTCTCGATTTATCAATTCCTGTTTCTTGTATATCATCACGGTCTATTAAATGTTTAACTTAATTTCTTGTTCTTTTTTCTTTCAGTATAAAAAGATCTCTGATACTGAAGTTGAAGTGGCCATCGCTAACGCCGCTGAAGTCTTGAAAATTCTCGATGATAGATATTGGAAGGAATAATTATTACTACTCTCTATTGCACCACCATTGTTGCAGATGTTTGTGAAGATGTTAATAGTACTCAGAAAGTTTTTTACATCCAGGTTATCGTTATCACGTAGCGAGTTATAATGCAATAACAGTTTGCAATTTTATACCATTTTCTGACTATAAGAACACCATTTTTATCGATTGAAAAAATTAAGTAACTGTCTTTGTCATTCAACAGTTTTTGTACTTACAAATTGAAATTGATAATTATATGATATAATGTTTCTATTATTAAATGGAACTCAGTGATAAAATGATGCATTCAGTATTGTCAAAACCGCATCTGTAAAACAAGTTGAGGTATTATAAATTAGCTAAATGTTTCAAATCATTGCAGTTAGGCTCTCTTGTCTCTAAACGGGACTTTTTGAAACTTTTTAACATTTAACTTAAATAGCAAAAAATCTGCTTTCAAAATTTTTTCACGATAATTTGTACCTCCATCGTTTGGATTGTCGGACCAAACGCCCTCAGCAACCTCTTAAGTGAAGTAATTTGTCACTTCTTGAGAGCTATATTATAGATAGTGTTAGTTCTCTTTTTTGATAATTTAGTAGTTTCATAGAAGGTCTAAGTTCGCTAAGTATATAGTCGTAATCATTGAATTACACACACATAGGAAGTGAAATGAAGCGTTTGGACTGGACGCTGATCTGTAAAACGCATAATGTGAGAGATGCCATAGGACAATTCTAGTTTAAAGCTCCATGGTCAAGATTTATTGTGAGCAACCATTATATCTGCCTAGCTTCACCGGAAAAAAGCAATTTTTGTATTAAAATCAACAAAAATAATTTTCAAGCACATATTTTGATTTAATTGCATTGTTCTAAACATAATAAGTTAAGTAAATACTTCATAGGCCAACAACAATCCAAGGTAGTCAAATAGTTCGACCCTCATATTTCTGGTAGTTAGTTAGATTCATGAAGGTTGCCACGTTAAGTTTGTTGATGTGTGATCTCTGGCTTGCTGGCTGGCGTTCAAATTTTAATGAGCTATTAAATCATCCTACTCTCTGCCAGTTTATTATTCATAAATTAAACCGCAAAAATGATGGAAGAGGACGACAACGTAAAAATAGCTGAGGGGGAACTCGATGAAACTACCACTTCTACCACAGCTGAACCATCTTCATCTGAACCAGTTCCTTGTGAGTAATCTTTATTTAATTTATTTTAAATTGATTAGACCAGAGATTTGCATGTTTTTGAAATGCTGGTGCCTTTTATTTAAGAGGTACTCTAGCTAGGAAAGCAAAAAAAGTTGATTAAAAATTTAAAATATGAATTGAGTCTGAGTTTTTTTTCTAAGGAACAAGGATGAGAAAGAAGACTATTATTTTTTGATTTGCTGTAAGTAGGTAGAATAAATTGAACTTGAATAATGATTATGTGAATAACTACTAATTAAAATTTGGATATGAAAAAGTTTTGCAAAAATATGTATTTTTAAAATTTTAAATAATAAATTTTAAGATTTAGGATCTCGTAAAAATGTAATTATTTGTTGTTATTTGTTTATTTTTTATTTTGTAATGTTAGTAATGTAATGTAATGTAATGTTTTTCTGCTTGTAAATTGATTAAACAACCATCTACTGGTATTGTTTGGACCATGAATGTTATGATATTTTAACTACAACAACAGCAACAATAATAATAGTAAACAAATCAAGATAACACTGATCATATTTCAGTTACCAAGGAAACTACACCTCCATATGAACCTATAGTAGATTTGAAAGGAATAATTACTCAACCAGAAGAAAATTCAACACAACAACACTTAAAAGAACCTATAATCTCTGCTGAATCACCACCTTCCACAGTGTCTCATGCCATTTCAGATGAAATCATTAGCAGTTTCGAAGAGTTAAACTTAAAGACTGATTACAAACCACAACAAACTGAATCACGTTTTATGCCCACCACTACTGCTACTACTAATCCTGCAACAACTATTCCACAGCCATTATCCCAATTTCAATCTAACGATTCATCCGGATATGGAAAGACATTGGCATCCTTAGCTGATGCCAAACAACACCCAGATTCTCATATCCCATGTTACTTGCCAGCTGTCACTGCTGCTCCTACCTTTCCTGGCTATCCGCAGCCTGTCCTAGCCAGTACTGATAATTATAATGTTTCTTCACCTTCACCAGCGCTCACACAGCAAAGTACCAATCCTTACAGAGTTAGTCATAGGAATTTTTTATATTTTTGGGATTTAGTTTGGAAAATTATCTTGTGTTTGTGCAATTTTAAATGTTAGTTTTGTTCGTTTTATTGCCTGTTGCTGATCTGAAAAGTTAAAAATTTTTAACAGGCAGTTGCAGGGCTTTCAACACATTTCTCAGCCACCCCACCAGTTTTGGCACACAACATTTTCACTCCAGCACCTCTACCACCAACAGCTTCGGCAGCCACTACCCAACAGCCGCACTACCAACAGCCACTGCCACAGAATTATTCATACTCCGCTTCACCCCACGTTCAACAACAGCTTCAATTTCCACCACGAGAGCAACAACCACAACCATGTGGTGGTGATCATTCACATCAGCACCACCACCATCATCATGGACAGGAGTGCAGTGGTGAAGCATTTCTGGATATCCCGACTGATTTTTCTACTGCTTCCTATGGAAGTCAGCAGCAGTTTGCACATAGCACCTACAGATCCAATGACGGCTTTCTAGGCTGGGTTTCTAATGTCGGGAATAAAGTTATAGAAAAAACTAAAGTAGGACGTTTTTTTTTGGGGTGTAACTGATTGCTGCATTTTATGCAGTATTGTTAAATATTAATATTTCTAAAAATGCGGTGATGTTGAAAAGTTTAATTCAATTTTTTAATTTTTATTCGTCTTAGAGTTCTGTGGAGACGATGATAACAACATTGGATCCTGGCATGAAAGCTGTTATATGTTGGTTATTTGTTTCTTTTATTTATTTATTCATTCATTTATTCATTCATTCATTTATTTATTTATTAACATCCAAATTAGACTCAGGTGGTGATGTTGATGTGATCATAACGACAACAAACGATGAAGTGGTCAGTGGTGTCAGGCAGGCTTTCCAGGAAGTCTTTGGGAAAGCCACTGTTAATGGAGTGGTCAGTTGGATGGTTGATTGGTTGGCTGGTTGATTGATTGGCTGGCTGGTTGATTGATTGGCCTGTCAGTTGGTTAGTTTGTTGGTCGGTTGACTGACTGATTTGTATTGTATCTTTTATGGTTGATTGATTGGTTGATTGGTTGATTGGTTGGTTGATTGATTTATTGATTGATTGATTATATCTGATTGATCATTTGAGTGATTGATCGGTAATAATCGTAGGAAAGTAGATCAGACATAGCAGTCCAACCAGTTGGTTTCATGTCTGGCTTGAATGGGGCAGGGAATAAAATTATGAATCTCAGAAAGTTAGATGGATAACTATTATTAATTATAACTATTTTATTTTCATAAATATGTGTGTATATCTGTATGTATATTTGTTATTGATTTTTTAGGTTTTTAAATTTAGTTTTTCATTTAATTGTAAATCCTCTGAAAGCTTAAGTGTGTGTGTCTGTCTGTGTGGGATGTGTGTGAATGCATGTTTATGTAATATTAAAGCGTGTGTGTGTGTGTGTTTGTGTGAGGTGTTGATATATTGGTGAATGTATTTCAGTCACAGGATCAATATAATATTAATCCAAATGGTTTTATATAAAATATTTTTGCTATTTTCAAAATTTCGTAAATAAATAAATAATAATGAATAAGTGTATTAAGTGTTTTTCTATCTATTTATTTATTCATTCATTCATACCTTTGTTCATTCAGTTCTGGCTCAGTTCACGAAAGACAAACCTTGGTGTCGTATGAAGGATTCATTCACGAAATTTTTACTGATCAGTCTGTTTTATTTTCACATTTCTGTCTATAATCTTTTCTTCATTCTCTGTGTGCGTGCGTGCGTGCGTGCGTGTGTGTGTGCGTGTGTGTCATAAAAATAAAAAACTAAGGTATCTTACGTATGGGACCTTAAAATTTTTTGAAATTTTTATAGTTTATATAACTTTCATGTAGGCACTAAACAACTTTTATATCCTACTGTGATACTAATAAAATTAATTATTGTTAGCGTTTGTTGACATGCTAATAACATGTCGTCACACGTTCATACAACGAGTTAGTACTGCGATATGGTACCGTGGTTTTTGTTTCTACAAAGCAGGTGGTTCTTCATTGGGTGTTTAACATTGAAAGATCCATTGAGAAACATTGATGTCAGCACGTTCACCCAGGCAATCCCTTTAAATCCGGCTTTTGTCCAGCTGGCTCAGGAATTTACTCCAACTGATTATGATTTGAGGTGGTCTGGATTGGCGGTCAGTGTCGGAGAGGTGTGTTTGTGTCTCTCTGGTTCTTGTCTGTCTGTGTGTGTGTCTGTGTGTGTGTTTGTGTGTGAAGTTGTGCTATTTTTGTTGCTTCGTTATTCCTCATTTCAGTGTTATTTTTTTCATTAAAATCGTTTTTTTTAGAAATTAATATTTTTTGGGGAAGTTTTGCTACCGTTTTGAATCCATAAATTGATTTTGTATTATTTTAAAATTTTTCATTTCGGCACGGTTTGTTCTGCTATAAAAATTAATCCCTTTTGTTTCATTGATTTTGAGCAGACGATAAACAGAAGTCTTCCCCACGTTCATCCAACTTTTTGGCACAAAGACATCGCAGGAGTAACGCTGAGGACCATGGTGTATCAGGCCGCGATTGCTCTGGCTACCTTGTACAAAAATAACTCAAATTTTCATCATTTTCACCATCATCATTAGTTGTTTTTTATAACTTAATTGCAATCATCAACGGTTTTAGATCTAGTGTTTCGAGACGGGTCATTTATTTGGAAAATAAAAATTGTTTATAGGTTTCTAACCGATTTGTTTTTTTTATCAGGTAGTTAAATGTTTTTGCGTTTTTTCATTGTCGAATTCTATTTCGGGGACAAATGTGACGTGTGTTTTTATTTTGTTAAGTTTTTTAAATCTAAAAATCGTTACCGCTAATATAAGCAGCTCGTAACTTCAACTTGCGATGAACTTCTTATATCACGAGCACCTGTTACGTTAGCCGGTCAGCTAGCAGTCTCAATGACGTAAAATTTATGACTAAAGTGGTAGATTTTTTATCTTATTTACCTGTTCAAATTCAAAGAATTAGTGAAAATTTTTTGTTAGGACCAATAAATTTGAATTATCAAAATACTAAATAGCTTAAATCAGGTTCAACTAGTTGCCAGTGAATGGAATGTCAATGGGTAAAATTTCAAAAAAATATCGATTTGCTTGATGCTATTTTTTTTCACACATTCAAAGTTTAATTGGTTTGTGGTACAAATGTTAAATAAATATTTATTACTCCAGTCATATTGGATTAAAATAATTAGTCCCAATAATTTAAAAACACGAATTAACAAATTTACATTTTTTCAAAGGTTTTATAAGTACTACTTCTTTGTAAAAAAAAAATGGCTTACAATTTACTAAGTTTTATATTTTCGTCTACTCAAGTAACCCAAATAGAACCATGGATCAACATTTGAAGACATGTTTGTATAAGTTTGAATGGATGTAGATACCTTTAAATTTTTTCTGTTGCTGAAGAGCCAGTAGATGACCTGTTGGTCAGTGCTCACACAGTCATGTTGACCGATCATTTCCTCAACTGCCCTCATATACTCACCGCACCATCTCAACAGAACCTCTCCTCCCCCTACAAAGTAACAACCACACACCCAAACCATATTTTCATTAACAATATCGCATGGTTTCATATTCTTCGATAAATCATAAACTTCAGTGTATGCTACTTTTGAGCGATCGAAGTTATCTGGGACATCCAAGTAAAACTTTTGAGAAAAGAGAGTCTCGTTAATGAGCTTCACAAAATAATACGGATCGTCACTAACAGCGAAATCCCGAAATAATCCGATATCAAGCCATGCAAAATAATTCGTCTTGAAGGGATTTTCCACGATGGATCGATTCATGAGTTCGTATTTGCAGTGCATGACGGCTGAATACTCCGGAACAACAGTATTTGGAGGATGTTTGGGATAGCCGGGCTTGGAAAATATTTTTGTGATGTTCGGGAGCAGCTTGAATGCCCACAAATCCTTTCTTTCCACCTCGATTATTTTGTATCTGCTTGGTTCGTGCTTCGACAGAATTTTTTTAAATATTTCCACAAATGAACTGTTTCTTTCCAGGTACACGATGAGCGGATTCAACAGGAGTGAGAATGTTGAACACCATCGTTTGTAGAGGTCACTGGAGAAATATAGCGGCTTATTACCTTTCTGAAATTTCGTCAAAACAAAGTATCCCGTTACTACTGTTGTCCTCCTGTCACGAACAACCGAGAAATTCTCAATTTTTTCTTGAAACCCCTATAAATTTTCATTTTACAGCTATTAAATTTGCACAAAATCGTTTAAGTTTTGATACTACTGATAATGAAATAAAATGATAGAATAACTTGACGAGACCAACCTTGGATATAAAAATAAACGCATAGAAAAATGTAAAAACGATGGGAATCATCACCAACAAACATTTAAATTGGCGAGTACAGTCTGTAACATTTGCACAAGACATCATCGAGTTTCCACTTTCCACTGAACGTTCTGCAAAAAACATTAGTGAGAAAAATTGAAAAAACGAATTACAAACATATTAACGCCAAACATTCGTAGAATTTATAGAATATTTATTATATATATATATATATATTATATATATATATATATATATATATATATATATATATATATATATATATATATATATATATATATATGTATATATATATATATATATATATTTATCATCAGTGCGGTTTGGTTTATATAGTGAAATAGGAACAAAGTTAATATTTCCTTATATAAACATCAACCGCACTGATGATGATTCATTCAGTTCAATTCAATTCAAAAATAGCTTTATTCAGCAAAATAACAACAGTTTTTCGCTAGGACCCGAAGTATCAACTTGTAGGGCCACCTATACACAATAGAAAAGGATTATGGATAGTAATAAACATAAACATGAAACTAATTCTATTATAAACAAAATATAAAAATAATAGATGATGAGAAAGGAATTCTTTTAACTATACACTAATAATAATAATAAAACATTTTCAAGTAATATGAAAATTAAGACAATAAAACTAAATGGTCGAGTTGCTATATTAAAAATTAATCAAGAAAAGTAATTTGAACGAACCAATTTGTTAATTATAGTTTTTTAAGAACATAGAGTCAATGAATTCTTAGCATATATTGCCAGTAAATCCCAAAGATGCATTGATAAAGAAAGTACTGAATTTATATAAAAATTTGACCTGGGTTTAGAAAAATAAAAATCAGAATTATATCTCAAGGATCGAGTATTATGATTTTTAAATATGATAATTTGCTTATGAATTAACGGACAAAAATTAAGTTTATATAATTTAAAAAAGAAAATTAAAGAATAAACAGTGTGTAATTGACTTACATTTAAAATAATTGCCATATTATAATAATGGCTAATGTGATCAATTCTATTTAATTTAAACAAAATACGCAAGAAAAAATTTTGATTAAGAGTTAACATATGAAGATTGGACTTCGAACTACAACCCCAGACAGGAATGCAATAAGTTAAGTAAGGCAAAATGAGAGAATTATATAAAGACATTAAAGTAAAGATAGGAAATCTAGATCTCAAACGATAAATTACACCCAGATTTTTGGATAGTTTGCTAGATATCCACCTTATATGATCAAACCAATTCAAATTACTAGAGATAACAACACCCAAAAATTTTACAGAATATAATCTTTTAATTAATATATTATTTAGTACTATGATAGAGAAACATAATTTATTACGTCAGCAATAGCAAATTGTGTAGATTGTTTAGGAATCTACACAATTTGCTATTGCTGACGTAGTTACGAAAACCATACTGATTAGAGCAGAAAATGTTATTAGAATTTAAAAAATTAGAAAGTCTATTATGAACAATTTTTTCAATAAGTTTGGCTAAACTAGAAATAATAGATATAGGTCGGTAATTATTAAAAATATGCCTATTACCAGATTTAAACAAGGGTATAACCCTAGAAATCTTTAAACATTTAGGGAAATAACCATTATTAAAAGACAAATTTATTAAATGTTATAAAGGAAAAATAATATTATTAAAAGTTTTTTTTAGTAAAAAGTTTGAAAAACAATCATCACCCGAACTATAAGAATTTTTAAAATTATTAGTAGAATCAATGATTTCAAGGAAGGAACAATCAAATAAAACAAAAGTGTTTGAAACATGAACATCCAAATACTTACGATAAC